TTAGCACACATGCTTATGTTTTAACATATGGGTACAGAAAGTCAGCCAAGCACAAAAGAAGTCAGTCACAGTTATTTTTGGAATGATACTTTGATTTTGATACTAATCCACTGTTATATTTATAGATTCAAAAGAAATTACATCTTATCTTCAGCTGCAATTACCACAGAGGACACAGAACATGGGACTTCTAAAGCAGTCCAAGGAAACAGATGACCTGGTTCTTAGTAGGAAGGAAAATAATACACTGGGACTCTTTTGAACGCACCAGTATCATGCACAAGGGAGAATTCTGTTACTTGATGTGGGCTTGTTATAAGCAGGCCAGCTGACAACATATTTGCAATACTAAGAGGTCTTACAGTATAGTCAAATATTTCATATCAAGTTCTGTTTGTCATGAGAAAGAATGTGCTTTCTACTTTTTGGGATGGGGTTATCTGGGTAATTTTGGTTTTTTTTGCAGGACAGTGTTATTGGCCAAATGCTCAATCCATTTATGTCAAGGGCAAAGTCTGATTTAAATGAGACCAGAATGCATGAGTATGTGCTAAATCAGATATTTTTAAATGCGTGCCACTTGAGATTGCAGAATAAAAAACACACTCATAAATAGTTCTGATTTGTTTGAAGTCAGAGCACTTTTCTTTCTGTGTGTCTATTTATAGTTTCAGGATAAGAAATTTTTATGCTTAGTAGAAGGAACTGATGAGTGAGACTTTCACATACTCAGAAGAAAAACATGAGTTGTAATTTTCTGTTTTGTCAGTCTGAATTAAATTCATGAGTCTTATAGTTGGGATATAAAATTAATCCTGCTTACTTAGAAGGAACTTAATCAGACACTTGCAGTTTTCCACTTGAACTGTGGTATCCAAAGGAGTCCATTCTCATAAAATGATTATCATCTGGCTTTGTCTTCCTGTTAAAATATATCTTGGATTTTGCCAATATCCAAGATTAGATTTTACTGTAATCTTTTGGTATTTATAATTTTTATTTTGTTGCTATATTAACAAGAAGAACACAAATGGATTATTGTGAATCCTGAAGTGTTCCCTTTTTTGTTGCTCGAGTCCAGTTCCATACAATATTAGTAATCAGCTTCTATGCCAAAGCCAAGCAGTGACAGTTGCAATAATGAATATTTGCTACAGGCCACTAGTATGAAAATAGCACAGTGCTGCAAGCCTGCGTCACCAGAAACAAATCTTTCATTTGACTGTGACTGAATTTCCAGCTCGATTTTTAGATCATTTATTACTGAAATAGTTCTTAAAGCAGTGTCATAATATAACATTAAGAAGTGCTGATTCAGCCTTCAAGGCATCAATTCAAATGCCTTCCTACTCAGTTTTGGTGTTATGTTTGGGGTTTTTTTAATGCCTTGTACCCTGTATCTAGGGCACTGACTTGTGTACAGGCAGTAACACTGTCTTATGTTCAAAGAGACACAAGCTGGTTAGGGTAGAAGTTCTGGTGAGAAGAGAATTTGAATTCCCTCTTTGTAAGCCTGTCTGACAACTTTTAGAATGTTTTCTCCTTAATTCCTGCAGATGATTATAAAGTTTATACGAGGAAGAGCAGCTTTGCGTCTTAGTACGTCATGGCTTTTACATGGTGAACATGGATGGTTTTCTTGTATATGTTTTGATGTCATTAATGCATTTGCGTTAGTGGAACGTATGATGTATAGCACACTTTATGAAAGAGCAGAATATATGCACTGAACTTTCATAGAATGTTCTTATAGTTGAAGAATATGCTGATGACATTTGCCATTTTTAGTTTATTTTTTATATACAATGCTGCTCTCATATATGCATAAAAAAATACCCTCAAAAGGACTAATATAATTGGTTATATTTTCTTCTCAATTTAAAATAATTACACAGTGAAACATTATATCAACATAATGTAGGAAGTCAGGTATTTGATGCAGAATATAATCTGCAGTTATTTTAATTTTTTTTTTAATTGCCTCAGTTTTTCCTACAGAAATGAAAGAAATGAGGATCTATATTTTGCTTAGGGCAAATTACTGACCCTTGCACTGCAAAACTGGTAATAGTGGTTGATTTACACATCTAATTTCCTGCAAGATTAGAACAAGTACCAACCTTGCTATCAATCCTGAGAGAACATTAATGTCGTCTTCTTACCTTCCCTCTCCCTGTTGCCATCTGCCCTCTGCCTTCCTTTTCATCAGGAAAGTACATTGGCCAGACAGCAGTGTACCACGTTGGAGAAACTGAAGTTTTAGGAACAGTGTGATGTACTTCTCAGAGTAGGGGTAAATAATTTCACTGCAACTTTAAATGAAGGAAGGCCGACATCACAGAATCACAGAATTGTTGAGGCTGGAAAAGACTTCTGAGATCGTCAAGTCCAGCCTATGTCCCATTGACACAGAATTTTTGGAATGGGAAAGGAGTGACAGGTTAAATGTATAAATTTGTGAACAGATCTACAAACAGTTCATTTACTCATCAGTTTCCCCAGAAAAAGGATTATTAGTTCAAATGAGAGTTTTTCTTTAGAAACATTGTTGTTGGTCTGTAAAAAATGATAAATAAGAACAGAATGTTCAGCAAGGTAAGACCATTCCTTCTGCACCAGTATTTGACATCCCCAGCACTGTCAGGATGTAAGTACCTCCAGACTCACTCTCAGGAAAAAGCCCAAAGTTTATTAGACCTTGAGTGTGACTTTTTTTTTTGCTACACGCATTAATATCTGGCGATATATAGGGTATTCACATGACATGCTTTCTTTGAATTATGAATAATAATTTTGAAAAAATATCTGGGAAAATATGTAGACACATTACAAAATATACAATGTATAGAAATTAATAGGGCTTGGAGGGTCCTATCCCCACCAAGTGAGAAGGGATCACACCTGTGTTGCTTCTGCAGATATTTATTCAGGCAGTTTCAACTCCTTCAGTAGGCAATATTTCTGAATTTCTGTAGGTAGGATATTCTCAGGTTTTAGAAGCTTTAATATTAGAAAGAATTTTCTGATGTCTAATATGTCTCTCTAGATGTAATCCAATAGTCCTTGTCCTGTTAGGAGGGATCGGGAGAAGAGTTTATTCTCTTATCTTTAGCTACCTTCTATAGATATAAAAAGTGTTGCTGGTGTCTACCCTTCATCTTCCATGTTCACAGTCCATGTTTTCTAAATCTCTAATTTGTTTTGGCTTCTTTCTTCACAATCCCTCTATGTTGGCTTGCATTTGTATTGCTGCTGGAATAACAACAAAGCAGTAATTGTTTACTTTTGATGTTGCAGTCTCTAGGCTGGACACAGGGGCTCCAGTGCTAATTAGAGGATAAAAAACCATAAATCTTCTACTTTGCACTTTCAATATGGTGAGGTCCTGTTTCATAGCACAATGATATAAGAGATCTATATTCACCTTGTTATCTGCTTTTTCTGAAATACAAGTAAACAAATAACCCAAAATCAAACAACAACAAAGAAAAACTTTACGAAAGAGCAGTAGTGAGGCTGTTTTTCTTCATCATGTTGTAATAGATCAGATTAATCCTACAGAGTGTGGATTCCTGCAATTGTCTTTACTGAAGAACATCTAATTTTCTAGACTATTTCTCCAGTGCATTAAAATTGTTTGGAATCATGTCTCTCAGTGTTTTTGCACTTGCTCCCAATATACTATTATCTGACAAGTTTTTAGATGTGTTCTTCACTTATGAAGTTGTTGAACAGTATTAGTCTGAAACACACCTCTGCTGCCTCACTTAGTTGGGTCCCTCCTGCATCACAACACTACTGAGATCTATAAGCAAAAGAACTGTAATTTTGCCTATTCTAATAGATGGCAATGAATAAAGCATAGTACAGGTAGAGCACCGCTGATACCAAGGGATGCATGAAACCAAAATGAGATGACTATGTTGGAGAGTACACAATTCCAGAAATATATCAGTAAACTAATTAAAGTTTCTTATGGGGAAAGCTGCTATTCAGTAGGCTTGATATGACAAAATAAAACACTGCAAAGGCAGAACAGCTCCTCTCCCTTTTTACCTTCTCCTGCCCCTTGCTTGCCATCCTCTTCACTGACTCAGTGCTGCATCCTACTGTCCTCTACCCTGCTAAGTACTTAACTACTAAACAACACTGCCATATCCAAATGTCATTTATATATATTCAAACCACAATATGATTGTGTATTTTCTCTCTCTTGGAGTAGAAAACTACAGAAAAGGCTCAAGTTCTCAGGTACTGCACTAGGTTTCCAAATAGATTTAGGTGTATAACATTCTCACAGTTTTTCCAAACATACCACTGATATACAGAACAGAAATCTTTTTAGTGTTTGTGTAGTTTTCAGACATAGAGTGTTGTGTATTTAATTATTATTAGTAGTATGTATTGTTAGTGTTCAATAATGGATAATAATAATGCATGAATAAATGTATACTGTATATCAATACTTAATTCATTTAATATTAATTTTGGTTAGTAACATGTGAGGCATTGATTTAACACTTTATTTTATTAGATATTAGAACATACAGTTATTTTCATTTTAGTTCTAACAGTGCAGAATCTTAAAACTTTAGCTGGGCTTGGCTACTCAGCGTTAGTACGGAAGTTCTTTCATCTGAAGTGCTGCATATAAGTTTTTACTTCCTATTGTACACATTTTTTCATGACCCCTTTTAGTGTGTTGTCCTTTCAGTTGTATAGAACAGTCTTAATGACCTTCATTTTTGGTTTATGAATTCTATGTTTAATGGGTTTTAGCAAAATGCAGAAGACAGAATTTTGATACCTGTGCATACTGTATTTTGTAACCACACAAAATACAAAGATTAAGGTCAGATTTAGTTCATTACCATCAGTCAAACCACCACCATCATGATCTGTGTCTCTGCATGGTTAACATTTGGATGCAAAAAAAGCTCATTCCAAGCATCACCACTTCTATTTGTTTGTTTGCTTCCATTTCCCCTCTTTGCCAACAGACGTTACCCCAGGGACACCAGCAATATCAACGACAACAACCGTGGAAATCCGGAAGAGCAGTGTTATGACAACTGAGATCACCTCGAAAGTGGAGAAAATCCCCACGACAGCCACAAGCAGCACCACAAGCCCTTCTGTGGAGACTGAGGAAGAGAAAGCAAAAAGACTGCTGTACTGTTCACTATGCAAAGTCGCTGTCAACTCTGCCTCGCAGCTGGAGGCGCACAACAGTGGTGAGATGGAGCAGTGCTTGCTTGCTTCCTTTTTTTCCTTCTGTCTCAAGAGCTCTGCAATTATCTTCCCCTGAATAGATTAGATCTCTTGCAGCAGGGGACAAAGAGGTGGCAGAAAACTGGCAATTACATGGAATTCATTAACTGTTAAAGAATAAAAATGACAGGCAAAGAGGCTTTCATAAAGGAGGAAGAAAGGAATTTCATTGCATGCAAGTTACCCATTTTCTTACATTTTGGCTTTTGCAGCTTCCAAACCTTATAGAGCTAAATTGACAGCTCATGCTTCATTTACCTTTCCTGTTCAGAGTTTGCATAGTTTTGTTTGTGCCAGCTAGCAAACTGAGTAGGAATGCCATTAGTTTTGTTTGAAATCTAACAAATTAAGGCTGAAAGAGAGAGCATCAGTCAGTCAGAGTTCATGATGAGAGTTAGCATTCTTAGCTCCATATTGTCTCTTAACTTGTTAAAATGATGTATATTTTTCCTCTGTTTTCATCAGCTGATAGCAACTGCTCCATGAGAGTTGAATGGGTAGTCACTTACTTCCATCTTTCTTAATTTTTAAATGTTTTCTTGTTACTAGAGCTAGTAACATCAATAAGTTTCAGTAGTAGAGAGTCATCATTCACAGTCCCTATTTTAATTATCTTATTGACTGGCTTTGTGGTGAGTGGGGTTAAAAGATCTTGGGATTTAATATGGTGACATTGAACACCTGTAACAGTCCTACAGAAAAACTGCTGGGTTTGAATATCAGGGATTATCTGCCAGCAGGGTAAACAGTTAAGAAACAGAAAACCTTGGGTTTGAAACAAAGAGACAGCGAGGCTATGCCTGCAGCAAAATGATCAATGGTTTTATGAAGTAATAAAAGAAGGAATAACTTTGGCATGTCTATAGAAGCCACTCAAAGTAAAAATGAAATTATAGTTTGTTGGTATTCATGAGAAACAAAGCCTCATCAGTTCTGAATGCTGTGTTTGCTATATGCCAGGTCTTCAATCTGTGAAAAATCAAGTTCATAAAGCTCTACCCATTTAACCTATTTAGCTTCATGTGAGAGTTAGACTCTAAATATTTTTCTGATCAAGATGAGAACCAAAATTTTATTCTGAATATTTCATCCCAACCCTCCAAGTTTTTGCTCTCTGTGCCTATAAACTGTGTATATGCTCACATTCATGCTTCTAAAAGTGTGTATGTGGATGCATACAACAGTTCCCAGTGGCATACTAATTCTGTACATGGTGGTAGTCCATTATCATTACAGACTACCTGCTTGGCAGTCAGCAGTGTAAGAAATTGTTTGGTCTGAATAAAGGTAAAGCAACAGAACGTTATTGTTTTCCATTCGATCTTTATTTTAGTGAAAAATGCAAATGCATTTTTCTCACATGCCTGTTTCTCACACATTTTGTTTTTTTCAGGCCATTAAGGATCCATAGGTTGCTGCCAGGAACCTCTACCCCTTTTTGATTTGGAGACTAATTAGTTCATTACAGATTTAAGTGTAAGCTACCTAATACATACTGTTTATCAATCCATTCAGGAAGACTACAAATCAAAGCCAGCTACATCTTTAATAGCTAAATTACTCTTCCTTTGCAACTACAATTCAGGTCTTATTAGCAGCAGAACTTCATGAGAAAAGTCACACCCATTTAACTTCACATCAGGATACCTGATTTTGCCACTACTTACAGATGTGGCTGCTTTGTTCTAGTGCGTTGCCTACAGATATGTAACTTAATAATTAAATATCAGATGTGAAATCTTGTTACATTGGTATGAATCTGATACAGACAAACACAGGCACATTCCACGGACAGCATGTGACATCAAGCTGAGATTCGTATGATTTTCTTTTAAAAAGAAAATAAAACAATGAATGCAACCAAGTTGCCAAAGTTCTTTCTGTTTCCCATTTCTAATGTCTCCAGGGACTAAGCACAAAACTATGCTGGAAGCTCGGAATGGAAGTGGAACCATAAAGGCCTTTCCCCGGGCAGGCGTAAAAGGCAAAGGACCTGTGAATAAGGGAAACACAGGCCTTCAGAACAAAACATTTCACTGTGAAATATGTGATGTGCACGTAAACTCTGAGACACAACTGAAACAGGTACTCAGCTAGCTTGCCTAGTGTGAATCCTTGGGTGTTCTTTGTTTTCATGGTGATAAAGTACCAGCATGATCAGCATGTGTCAATCTAACAGTTCACATCCAAGTGGAGCTTACAGATTCTGCCTTCTGTAGCTGGCTGTCATGCTGTGTGTTTTGGATACGATTTTCTTTGCACAGAATATGTTTTCTCAAAAGCTCTTAATCATATATATTTCTTAAAGAGTTATAGAAGCTGTAAGCTGCAGCATGCTACAACTGTCTTTACTATAATTGTTATGAACTAATAAATGCTGCCTTTTAGTGTACTGCATGGTATTTGCCTTGACAAAGATGTGGAGTTGGGTGCAGCCAGTGCTTTCACAGAACACTGAATAACCTACTTAAGAAATGTGGGGATGGAGAGGATTTGTAATACTTTATCAGTGTTACTCTGTAACTGAAAAGTATGACCTCTGAATTGCAATTACACTAAGTTATGTTCAGTCATTCTTCAGATGAACAAAGCCTTTGTTCTGAAAAATGCTCAGTTTAATTCCATATGCCTTTTGGAATTAAATAATTGTTAAGGAACTTTAAAAGACTGAAGATAAGTTCAGTAATGGACAGTAGTAATACTTCTGCTTTCAGGAAAAAAAGTCCACTTCTTTGTCTTTTGTGTGTGTGTGTGTGTGTGAGAATTCTCTTGGGAATAAGAAACAAAGTAAAAATATAGTTCTGAAAAAGGTGCCTTACATCTAATACTGCAGTAAGGTCTGTGTAGAAGGTTTCTTGTAAAAATTCATAGATTTTATGAAGATAATGGATTTTGAGTGGTGTTTTTACTGTCACTTAGTTTGATATATAACCATCTTTCAGCTGAAATCTTAAAAGGATCTCCAGGCTTCTTAGGAATTTAAACAATTCCCTCCCCACCACCACCAAACAGGGGATGTTCTGCTATTCAATATTCTTTCAAAATTTTCTATCAACAGCAGAGTCAATTTGATGGGTGCTTTGTAGAGATAGGAAGGAAATTTTCAAAGGCTTCTGTGTTTGACCTGGTTCAGGTCCTGTTGAAGTTAACAAAGGTGAGGAAATCATTGACTACAGTGGAAGCAGAGCTGAACTGAGCCCTGTAGAAAATCAGAGTCCCAATATGTGATGCACAAAGGATCGTTCAAATTGGAAGAGACCCTATTCCCATTCATTATTGAATTAGTCAAAGTAATGCTGTTGTGGAATGCAGTAGCCTTCAGTATTGGAGCACCCTCGTGTAAAGCAGAACCTGAAATCACCTCTTAAGGAACTATCACTCTTTTCTTTTCTCACAAAATGTATTTTAACAGCACATTAGCAGTAGAAGGCACAAAGACAGAGCTGCTGGGAAGCCACCTAAACCTAAATACAGCCCTTACAACAAACTCCAAAAGGGAACACATCCTCTAGGGGTAAGCCAATCACCTTTTTACTTTGCTTTTATTTTAACCCTGCTGAATGGAGATTTTAGAAAAATAAAGTGGAAAAACGTTTAAAATTATAGAAATAGTGTAAGCAGAGAGTATCTGAGAGTGTCTGAATGAGGCCATGGAAGTCCACAAAGGACTTTGTATACATTTTGATGGACGTTGACTACAACCTGTGGGTCCTTGTTTTGTAGCTACTCTGAATCAGAAAAGAAGCTTGTTTTAAAGGTTGTTAGAGAGCAACAGATGAAAGAAACATCCAGATGTTAAACAGGATTTTTCCAGTTTTGACCAGGAACAATAGTGATGAAGTGACTAAATAAAATTCTATAAAACATAAAACTTTTATTCTATCCTTATTTAGAAAATTAGTCAGATAACAATTGAAATTAAAAAAAAATCCATCTCTCGTTTCATTCCACTCAGTGCCAAGATGAGATTGCCAGAGTAAAATATCTGAAACACAGTTCTTTCTAGCTTAAAAAGCTGAGAAAAGGGTTTGGTTTTGAATAAAAATCCCTCTAGGATCCTGCCATTAGTTAAGGAACAGCTTATATTGTGGGTAGGATAGCAAAACATCTGATATTTATCTCTATCAGATAAAGTGCACGATTGGTTTTTGTGTCACGGTGTTTTGTGATGGTTTATAGCTGGTTTTGACAGAGGAAGAATGTTCAGTCATTGGCCTTGTAGAGATTAGCCCCTTATGCCTTGACTATCTTCTCTAATGCAGGCAGAATATGGAGGGTTTTTTTCTGTGAAAACCCATTTCTCTTTAAATTGAGTTACAGCTCCTGTCTCAGCAACAGAAAATGCATCCTTGTTGGAACCCTTTGTTGGGGCATACCACTTATGAGTGGTATATTCATGCACGATTCAGTTGGCTAAGAGTTTTCATAGATGTTGCAGCATAACATAGTGCACCATCCTGGTGGATCCATTAGCAGGGAAATAGCTCCGTAGGGTTTTTTCATTAATCCACCAGGAAGTCCAAGGTCTCCAGGACATATAAGCTATGCTGAAAGAAACAGAAGATATGTGATGAGGTAGGTAGGATATAGAATCATGTAAACCTCTCTGACAGGATTATGATTCCATTAGGAAATTCATGGTTTCCCAGGGGATGAAAATAACTATTACATTACTGTTGCTGTGGTGCACAGTTCTCTATTTACCAATTTATGTAATGGTGATTTCTGAGAAATCTAGCCAATGATCAAGGCTATTTAGTTGCTGTATAGACAAATAAAGGCAATGCGTCCTTTTCCTGCTCCGTCATTCTCAGTCACTCACAATATACAAGTCAAGCCAGAGGTAAGTAAAGAGCCAAAGGAGATTTAAGAAGGAGAGAACGAGTTAGCAATAAATGAACAGATATATATAGTAGAATGGAGGCTGCACTGAGAAAGAAAGAGAGCAGTTTTCCGTTTAGTCTTTTGAGTTTTCAATAGAAAAAAAAATAGCAAAATTACAAGTTCTTGAAATACAGAATGGCATAGCAACAAGCCAAATATGTGCTAACTTTACTTTAAATGTAAATGTTTTGCATGAGCTCTAGGCTTTTTGTTTACTCTCTGTTAATTTTCCTTACTGTCCCTTACTTTACTTCATTAGAAGAGAAATGAATAATGGCTACTTTACTCTTAATGTTGACCGATGTGTTAATTAGCACTTGCATAGAGGTTTGAAATGAAGGCACAAGGTACTGTTATGTGCTACATATTACTAATTTTGCGGATATCTTAAAATCAGAGCTATGATGTTAAATTAACTGAAACTGGAACAGGCTCCTCAGAGAGGTTGTAGAGTCTCCTTTTCTGGAGAAGTTGAAAACCTACTTGGACACATTCCCATGTGGCCTACTCTTGGTGATCTTGCTTTGGCAGAAGGATTGGACTAGATGATCTTCTGAGGTCACTTCCAACCCTAATGTTCTGTGATTCTGAAGTTCCTGATTCCCCCAGAAATGGCAAGATAATCCTAGCCTTTTAATATATACAGTCACATAAAATCTTTGTTCTTTGCAACAAAAAATGTATGAGCATCTCTATTTTTTTTCTCTAGAAGTTAAAAGAACATACTATGTTTTCATAACTTTTCTAGACCAAAAACTTCCCAATACCATGTTCTCAGTATCATTTGTACTGCTTTGACTAATCTAGTTTTGCATGCTTCAGAGAAAGAAGATTTATGAATTCCCACAGCACTATTTCAGAGTTTAAGAAGTTTTGCGATGCTGGGATTTGCTTAATATTTCTTCAAGTTATAGATGTCCAAAATGTATAAAATACTACACTGGAGAGAAAGAGGTCATCAGGCATTTGATGGTCCAAATTTTTTACAAGAAAATTACTCTTAAGAAAAATATCCTTCACTGGGAATTCTAGATGGCAATCAGAGCCCTTTTGGATTTTTTTTTTGTACTTTGTACTCAGAATTAATTTTTTTGAGAGAGAGGGTTTTTTTTTTTCTTCTCTATTCTAAACAGGGCTGAAAAAAATGTATTTCCTAAAAAAATGTAAGGAAGGAGGAAAAAATCAAATGCTCAGCAAGAAAAGAAGACAGCTTGGGTCAGGGGTGTAACACTGATTCTAGGGATAGATGAGATTGTTGCATTTCATGGACACCATGAGGAATTTTGTAGCTACCAACCATTGTGTCCTCTATTAAGAGAGTTAAAGAATCCGATCCCCTCTGAGTATCTCTCACAGAGCTTTGAATGACCTTGAGGCCAGCGGAGTTGCCAATGAGTGCTAGGAAAAATAAAAATCCTGTATCTATCCACCTGGTAAAGAACCATAAGGATTTTTTATTTTTTTTTAATATGGCGATGGTGTAATGATGAGACTCGCTGGTGGCTCATGCCAGAGTACTCCCATACTTACTTTCTGAGTACTCACTCACCAGGGTACCGTCAAGTGGAAGGCATCAGACCCTGCAAATTAATTATTTGAAAGGCCCTTTCAATGCAAGGATGAGAAATTTTGTTTCCCTGGGAGTCAGAGGTGTCCATACTTATTCTGAGATGTGCCGTGGAGTTCCTAGTCTGTATATTTAATACTATATATTCAGGTTCATGTTCTTTGCAAAGGACCTTGGGTCACACCAGGACACAGACCCACCAAATGTCCGTCAGAGCCAACAGAAACTTTTGTTTGTCAGTGGATGAGGTTTCTGTTCTTACCTCAGAGTCATAGAACCAGGACAACAAAAGTATTCAGGCTCCTGGCATCTCATTAGAAAAATGAAATCCCATTGAAGTCTGCAGAAATCTGTATAGACTCTGATGTTCATTTGTAGGCATACCAAATGCGTATTCTCTTAAATAATAACGGACCTCTGTGAATATTTTGAGGCAGACTGGGAAAAGCTTCAGGTTGTTGTTTTTTTCTTTTTTGGAAACTATAAATGGGGAGTTTTCTTGATTGTATTTGGTAGTGCACAAGACTTATGATTTAGATGTTTTTAAAGCAGTCGTTTCAGTTCCAGTAATAAAAATACCATGGTTGGGAACTATACTAATTGATGTAGGCAAGATTTCTTTCATGAAAACATTTTAAAATACTTGCTGCATTTTCAGTCTTTTTAGAATGAACATTATCATAATAAAATATTTGAGAACACAGCAGGATGACATAGGGCAGCACCCACAGAATTCATCGCCTATTTGAACACATGAAGCACAGGAGATTTTGATAACTGTTGCAAGATAAGCTGTGTTCGTTTGCTTGTTATTAGAGGCAGGAGCTATTAATGAGAAGCTAGCTGGAGATCTTAAGTGGAACTTGAATCCTAATGATTAAAGCAGAAGTACCTTCTTAGTCAGATGAGGGAATAGGATATTTTCATTCTGCTCTGGTCTCTATCATAAAGCTGGAGGTCTTTTATTTGATAGTTAATTCTTATTTAATTCTTGCAGAGTACATTCAGCTTTACTTTGGTACAGTCAGTCCTTTTGTTAGGTTTGCTTTGACTTTTAATCCCATATTAAATTGTAAGTCTCAGTGATAATGCATGACCATTGAAACTTTTTGTGCCCAGCCAAATCCTGCTCACCCTTGTCCAATGTGCAAGTTCGTATCTCCTGTCACAAGCCTCCAGCTCCTAGAGTCAGTAGCCACTATGAGGTCTCTCTTGCTTGATTTTGCACTTATAATCTTAAATCAGGCTCCCTGTGGTGTAGCTAATACGAACAAATTATGTCTCTCTGTTTGTTTGTTTTCTCTCTTCCCCACAGGTGAAATTAGTATTTTCAAAGGAACCTTCAAAGCCGATGGCTCCACGAATCTTACCAAATCCACTAGCAGCTGCAGCAGCAGCCGCCAGCCGCTGTGGCTGTGAATTCCCCGTTCAGTCTTCGCACAGCCCCAGCAGCCACCCTTTTCCAGACTTCAGCACTTCCTCCAGCACTCCTACGACCAGCTCCAGGGCCTATACGGACCACCCATACTCCTGTGCTGTTTGCTCCTTACTGAACTCCAAACAGGAATTAATTGTACTGCAATAATTTTTCAAATCAAAACAAACAAACAAACAAACAAAAACAAACAAACAAAAAAGAAAATCAAGAACATTGAACTATGCAGTGTTTATTTATAGTTTAAAGTATATATGAAGAGCCAGGACTTTTGATAGAGAACTGAACAAATTCTAAAGGGGGGAATAGGTAGTATTTTCTCCAGAAGAGAACATTACTCTTGAGTATTGATCGTTTTAGAACTGATCTCCAGCATTGACTTGTAGTGACATATAAAACTTATGAAGCCTTTTGACTGTGCTTTTTGGCACATATTTCCCTGCAATGTCTTTCCTGCTTTATGAAACAACTTACAAATTTGTCTAAAGGGCATTAACTGGTTCCAATGTACATAAAATACTTTATTCTGTAGATTAAAGAAGGAAAAAAAAAAAGAAACACTGTGAATAGTAGTACCCTTACCAATCCTCCTGCCAAATCAGCAGTTACTGGGTATTTATCTGAACAAAAGTAGATACAATAGATGTCTTGTAAAACAGTAGTATTGTGTCTCTATCTATGCCACTAGGTTTCTAACTGAAGTGCAAAAGATAAAATTAACAAATTATGTCACTTTGGTAAGTAGTCAAAAATGAGGACAATAATGTGGAGCTGTTCCTGGTGAGCAAAAATTTTTTTCCTCACTTGCAGAAGAATGGGCATGAAGATAATCTATGGTTAGGGCAAAGTAAATGATAAAGAAGATATAGCAGGGGGAAAAAAACAGATGCTGTACACAGAATAGGTCAGACTTTTATTTAACTGAGAACATATGTGCACAGTGTGTGTATATTCAAAAGGTGTAATACATACAGGATAGATCAATGTCAAAGACATACCAGTGGACAGCAAAAAATACTCTCTTGTCATGAAAAAGGGCCTGACACTTTAGTGTTGAGCAGAGGGAAGACACAAATGGGTAACGCATACTCACAATTAGCAAATGAAAAGCAGGAGAGAAATCCTGGCTCCATTTAGGTCAGAATAAAGTTCCTCCTGACTGCAATGTAGCCAGAATTTCATCCCAAGAATGGCACATATTGTTTTTATATCACAACAGTGGGAGTGTCTCTAGATACAGGTAACTTTTTTTTTTTGCAATAGACTCAGTCTTAGAAACAGATTTATTATCTTGTTTTATTTCCTACTGATGTGATATAAAATGTCTTAATATACCTATAAAATGTAAACAGCAACACATGAGATACATATTACAAGATAACTGCACATTGTGGGTTTGGAACAAATGCAACCTTTTAGGACCTGAAGGGAACCTTAGATTCTGTAGCTGACCTTTATGTATGGACAGCTTAAAGCCTTATGTATTTGTTGTGAGGCTTAAAGGCGTTGACTGTGTCCCTTTAAGGTAAGATTTATCAGGGGTATATATAGATATATTGTATATATGTTAGAGTAAGAAAAATAACTTATAAACAGAAAATCTACTATATAAAATAATTATATAACCATTGAGTTTCACCTGTGGGTCATTAAGTGGTAAGTAATAAACAGCAGAGAAAAAATAGACTTCTTGAATCTGATTCTTGCTGCCTGCTTTTTCCCATAGGGAGCTGAAAAGTATCTATTAATATTAGGGAGTGCGCTGCTGAGTCATATGCGACCACTCTGATGTGTAGCTAAGTGAAATGCCTACCATACATTTAGAAGGAATAAAATTTAAAAACATAATTTAAGTTTAGGTGGAGAAATGATTTGAAAGATTTTATTAAAAGGTAGTAATGCAAAATATTGACCATGTGGTTGCTATGTAATACTGCCTGTGGTTAATATGGACAGTTGGGAGATAGACAGGATGGGAATATACAGCACTTTTGACTTGCAGTCCATCAGTGAGCCTTCCATATACATTGATATTTGCCATTTTTTAAACCTCTCTGCATTTAGATTTTATAAAAAAAATATATAAAAAGAGAGAAAGAAGAGGTTCCATGGATGTCTGTGTCCAAAGAATTCCAAAGAGATGCATCTATTTATCTAGAAGAATTAAAATAAGTTCTATATTATGTATTTGTACTTCATCAAGTTTATTTGCAAACGTTTGTGCCTTGAAGTGAAATGGGCTTTTGTTTATATTTAACTCACTCCTATGTAGCCATGAAAAAGATGGAACGGTGATTTCAGGGCTGGTTCCTAGCTGGGTTGCTTTGGCCCAGTTTCCAAAACAAGAAACATATGAGTAAGTTCCTGAAGCCAAGATTAGGCACCTAAATAACAAGGGGCTGACGTTTAAAAGGGCTCCCTACTCTACAGCTCCCAGTAAAGAGGCAGTAAACAGGCAAAACCTGCACCTAACACTCAATTTAGTAAATGTTTCCTTTTATTTGAATACATAAATGTAATGTAGTAATGTTCTACTCCTCTTTGCAAAATCTTGGCCTTGGCCTTTTAAACCTGCTTGCAAACTTCCATCCCTTTGCAGAAATTAGAGTGCCATTACCAGCTGTGTTCAGATTCCTCCTTGAACAGGGCACTGGCTTTCAAACAGGGCTCCACGAACCACTGTTGATCTCCAGATCCTTTTGTTAGTAGCCTGTGTGAGTCAGAGCATGCTAGACAAGCAGAGGGGGACTGAAGTTTTGGCAAGGGAGAAGATCTGAACGGGAGATCTTTTTCCCAGGAGAAAACAAGCAAACAGGAAAATGGGAGACCTGTGAATATCCTGTAAGCTCTTATGCACGGCCTTCTGGTGCACAGACACCTGCTGTACATCCTGCTATGTTGTTGTGATGCCATCAAAATCAACAGGCCGATCCTTGCCAAAATGTGGCCTGTGGCATGTATGGAGGCACAGTACTAAGGGCAGAGTTAATACAAGTTTTGCTAGAAATAAAGAGTGTCATTCCAACTACTTACATCACCTGATCTGCAATGACACCTTCAGTTTTCTTGGACCTCTTTTGTCACAGTGCTCTATGGAACAAGTTTTTGTTCACACAAGTCTCTTTTAAATTTCAGCTGTAAACAACAAACTTGATTCTTTTTATGTCTCTTACTCACTACCTAATAAAGGATAAAGCCTAAATGTTAGAATGCATAGTGGATTTTCTGTGCCTTGCTGTTCCACCCCCTTTTGGTCAGTAACAAGTCAACACACCCGGGATGTCAGCACACCAGTTTTATATTCCGTATAAAATGTCAAGGAAAATACTGGCACAACAATCTGATGGGGCAAGGGGAGCTTCCAGTCATGGGTATGTCCACAGCAGCTGACAAAGGAGCTAGCAAACAGAAAACACTTTACACCTACTTGTCAATACATCCAATATGGAAAGCCCTACCAGGGAAAAATGTGTCATCATATTTCATGTTACAGTAACACTCCAGGGCCAAGTGGAAGCCTAAAGTACAAGGAAACAGATCATTTCATCGAAGACACAGCCACTGGAGTAACAGTGTGAAATCAGCCTGCAGGAAAATGAATGGGTATGAATTTGGAGAAACAAACAGGTTCAGACATATTTTCTTAAATTCTGCACAAAGTGTTAAAGAATGACTATCCTGTTCTGATCTAAAGAGATGGAATTTTCTGTGGGAGGGATGTATATCTATATTTTTACGCTATCTGCATTTTTTCAACTATCTCTGGCTTCAAAACTTTGTTCTGAAGGATCATTGTTGCTCTGAACCGTGAAATCAGTTATCTTCTTGAAAGCTGCTGTAAAAGCTGATGTAAGAGGTCGGTAAGCAAATGGTATAAATATGATGATCTAAAATGAACTGGAAAAAAAAAATGAACTGGTCATGTCAAGGAATATTGTATTTGACAAGTATACATCTTTATTTTAAGATAAATTAAAGTTATATAAAAATAAGAATAGCTAAATAAAGTTAATATAACTAGAAGAGTAACATCTGTCATTTTAGTACTGGAATGTTACAATTGGCTCTGCATTTTAAAGATGAAAATACTTTTTAGATGTTAAATCAATGCAAGGATGCTATGGGTAAATTTAATGTCTCACACTCATTATCTTCCAGTTATACTAGGAGTACCATAACTGCATGGACCTACCCTTAGTCACTTCTATCCTAAACCCAAAAGATACATGACATTATTGGCCCAATATTCCTTGAAAGCTGAAATCATGCTTCTTAGGAGCCTCTACTTCTGCCTTCTGCTGCCAGTAAACACATAGTTTTCAGGCTGTCTTTAAAATATCATGGAGGATTTCTATCTTAATATCTTATATTTTTTGCAAAACGAAATGTCATTTTATGAACATGAGACTAACACTGAGCAGCAAGACCTGAAAAGGTTTCTTCACAATTACAACATTCTTGTGGCTAAATATGAAGCACAGATACCCAGATTGTTTGGCTGCACAAATCTCTTTGAAAACGTGTGAAGCTGGAAGCCTAAATCACTTTATAAGAAATCTGTCCTTTTATTAACATAGGTGTGTGAATTTTCATTTTTAAAATTAACTTCAGCAAAGGTCAAGATTAAGGATTCTAAGCACCTAAAGCTCAGAAGAAAATAACCATGGAGTTCCTATTTACCTGCCATGCGACAATGTAAGACTTTGCTCTATAAAATATTACAGATTTGGCGGGTTTTTTTCATCACATCTTCCGCTGTTATCGTTTATTTTGAAGGGCCATTTTTTCAGTGCCAATGAATCAATAACATAAAAGCTTCTGTGCTGGGATTCAGTGCATGACTGATAGAAATGGTAATACTAATAAATCCTATCTAAAACTAGTTGAAATCTCAAACATGCAGTTAAGGGTTGAGCCAAGGACAAGAGCTTTATGCCCTCTCACACCTATAGGTTTATTAAAATTCAGGACCATTTAGGAGTAAATGTAACTATTTGGAGGATGGTTATTACACAGCCTTATCCGAAATGTCAGAGGCTGAAAGAGTCTGTGCTCCAGACCAAAATCAAAAATAGTATGAAAACGATAATGCTTTTAACCCTGGGACTTCTGAAAGGAGTTGCAAAGTTCTTTGACTTCCATAGAGCAATTTTTTGCTCTGAGTGCC